CCGAAGTCATTCACTTGTGAATGATGTTACTGGGGATGTTGAGGGGAGTGCATAAACAAAGAGAATAAGGATAGGTTGTTGAAGTAAAAAGAAGAAGAAATATAGTCTGTAGCTTAAATGTAAGCATAGCCGTAGCTAATAATGAAACATATAACAGTGGGTTACACTGAGAGTGTCTTAAACAGAATAAGACCGGAGTGCTCATGGCTGTGGTCGTGTAAAAATAATGACTAGAGTTAACGTGGCCGCAGCCATAGCAAAAGATGATTATTGGAGTCATAATGGCCGGAGCCGTAAAACATGATGACCGGAGCCGTAAAACATGATGACCGGAGTCATAAGGGCCGGAGCTGTAATAAAATATGATGATCGGAGTCATAATGGCCGGAGCTGTAATAAAATATGATGATCGGAGTCATAATGGCCGGAGCCAAGGTAGAGTATGTGATATGTGGTCACATTAACCATGATCGAAGTAAAATATGTCTTTGCGGCCGGAGCCGAAGTAAAATATAATGCCAGTTTAAAAGTATAATTGTATAAGTAAACAGAAGTGCTGAGCTAGGCTTAGATATAAAAATGAGAGTCAAAATGGCCGGAGCCATAATAAAATATAATGACCGGAGTCATAATGGCCGGAGCCATAATAAAATATAATGACCGGAGTCGTAATGGCCGGAGCCATAATAAAATATAATGACCGGAGTCGTAATGGCCGGAGCCATAATAAAATATAATGACCGGAGTCGTAATGGCCAGAGTCATAATAAAATATAATGACCGGAGTCGTAATGGCCGGAGCCATAATAAAATATAATGACCGGAGTCATAATGGCCGGAGCCGAAATAAAATGTGTGATATAGGATCACTGTGGCCGAAGTCGATGTGAAATGTGATGCAACATTAATATGGCTGGAACCGAAGTGAAACACTTGACAAAATTGAGAAAAGTAAACAAAGGTGTTGAAATGGGCGTGAGTGGGTCCATCTGGAAAATCTGACACCGTGGTGTGACAGTTGTCCTTGAAATGACGTGTGCAATAAATGCAGCCGTAAAAAGATAATTGCAACAGTTAAACGGGCAAATTTAAAAACGAACAGTCAAGTTCAACACGGTACCGTTTGGGGTTGTCCGTTGAATTCCAAACGGTGGCAACAGGGGCTGTGAGATTAAATGAATCTCAGCCATTGAGATCTAATTTTGCCCAGAAGTATAAATAGGCATTTTTTCTGCAGAAAAAGGTTTACCTGCATTTCTTTTCCTACAAAACTTTTGCGAGAAGCTTCATTGTGCATTTTTTATTCCTGAACTACGGTAACAACTGGGGATCTCTACATCAAATCTTTCGAAACCGAAATCAGGTACTGTATACGAAACTCTGATTTCAAGTTAATCGAAGTGTTTCTCTCCTTTCTCCCTTTTTGTGGTTGATTTAGAATACTCTAGAGGAAGTTAGGGTTAGAGGTGAGAGG